ATTATTGTTTATTCTTACTCTGTCATAAGGAAACATGTGACTCAGCATTCCTTCTTAACTCATTGTTCTTCTTACTGAGTCACGATCTCTCATCAACTATAAATTAATTTAGCTTCAAGAGCTTGAGAGCGCTTTTTTGTAATTTCGATTCTTCAAATAAAATATGGCAGACCAGCAGAATCGATGATCCAAAATGATGTTATATTCTTATCGAAAAATGAGTGGGTTGAGACAACGTTGACAAATGTAGCAGTGTCCAAACCAGACGCTTCTATAAAATTTACTCCATCCAAATAACTATAGGTAAAATTTGTCGAGATTAAATTACCCTCACCTAATATGGTTCACTGGAGAAAGCATTTGTCATAGAAGCTCTCTCCAAATTAGATTGGGAAAAACTAGTAGCGATACCGTATACCGTATCTAAATTCGAAAGAGTCAGATAAGCTTCCCTAAATTTGCCTTCTGTGAGGTTTGAATAGGTCAAATTAGCATTCGTAAAATTCTACTAAGATCAGCCATGCTGAGGTTACCGCTTATAAGTACTGCTTCTGACAGATCAGTATCAGTCATAGTGGCATTAACTAATATGGAGTCGGCATTCTAAATCTGCATTCTCCATTTTCTAAATCGGCATTCTTCAGGTTCGCATTTGTATACAACAGTCTTCCAGACAACGATATGATCATAATGGAGCAGATCCGCATTATCAAATTGGAGATTTAGTTTTAACAAGATATTATGAAAGAAAGCATAAACTGATTGAAAAGTTTTCGAGAACGCCATCTAGAATCATTGATGTCAAGTATCCAATTTATTGGGTGGAAGATCTTGAAATGCAAGCAGTGACACGAGTACACGTTAATCATTTATGGAAATACTTGCAGATTCATAATCTAGTGTTGTTTTCTGAGTTTTACTTTTTATCGGACAGAATCGACTGACGGATATTCTTCTGAAAACGACCTTCCGCCAGGAGCAATAAAAGTCGTTTTTGAATGTCTTCCTAATCAGATTTAAAAAATTTTCGGTCTATTGTTTTTAGATATTTTGATAGAACAATAATTAATTTTACATACTACTCTTTTCAATAACCAAATAGCTGAAAAACGACATCAACTTGACAATCACGGAAGATCTGAATTTAATGCGCATTAACCTCAAGCCAGGAGAGATCTAAAAATCAAAAACTGAAAAGGCTGCTTTTCCTAATACTAGACAGAGTCTTCTATTATGAGGGAAGTTTACCACTTTGTTACATTTTCAAAGCTGTATTTTATATACGATTCATGCTTCATAATAAGTCTGAATGTTGTTTTTTCTTTCTTTTTGTCTTTTGCAAGTTTTGTATAAGAGCTAGAATGTTATTCTACATAGAATGTGAATTTCGCGATGCCCAAACTGATAACGGATCTTCTCTATACAAGTAAAAACCAATAGTGAATATTCATATGGTGTTTGGTGGTCGTATATTCTGTTCTATAAGCTCTCAAACGTATGTTTTTGATGCAAAAACAAACTATAATAACGGGTATCCCAGAATAAATAAGCCTCTCAGTATTGTATTAATATCTCAGTCATTTTTCATTGTTCAGACTTGATTGTTATAGTAAAAGATTTCTCATTCAATTCTCTACAAAACTATATAAAACGTTTTAGTAAACTTAACGTGAAACTTTATGGGTTGAAGGCTGTAAGACACGAAAAATAACATACTTTGTTATAGCATTCGTTTCAAAGAACTAATTACCTTTTCTTTAATTGCACAGGTATTGAGACTGGCTCATCTCAGCTTTTCAATGGTTTCAGATGTTCTCTTTCTCGTTACATGTGGAAAAGGTCGTTTGAACAGGATAGCGATGCACACATTACGATATTTCTTATAGGATGACGTAATATCGCCGACAATGACGTTCTCGCCTCATGTTTTTATAGGAAATATAAATGTAATCAAATTGTTCTATAGGCTCGATCGGCAAGGTAAACAGGTCGTGAAATTGTCGCGATTTTGGCGAAATCGGTGTAAAACCGTGATTAATCGTATTTCGTGAAAAAACCGGTGATTAAATCGGATTTTATCGCGATTATGATAGAAAACGATTTTTCGAAAACCGCCGAAAATCAGAGCGATAAATCGTGATCAAACACCGATTTCAATAATTGATTACAAAATATGATAAAGTTAGAGAAATATTTTAAGGTTTATAAAATTTAGAGTCAAGTATAATTTCTATGCACTCTTTTAACATAATCAACACGATTTGAACGGCAACAAAAGATCTGGTTTCGGTATAAGTGTCACCACGGTGCCTTGAACGAGACTGGACAATTTTAAAAAGCGATCAAATTAAACTTATTATTATTTATATTGATTTATTTTAAAATACTTAGGGCGTTCAAAAAGTTCTGAGAACTTTAGTCTAATATGTTATGCTGATTGTTTCTAACCTCAATATCGGCCTCTTCTAAAAGCTACAACAGTTATGTACTGCACGACCACTGGAAACCTTTTGAACTCTCTACTATGTATAATTTCGAGTTACTTTTGTTTCGCCTACATTTCTAGATGGATAAACAGTGTATACGCTACTATATAAAAGCTCGCTCGTTACTCGGCTTAAATGCTACTCAAATCCATGACGAATTGATCACTGCTTACGGTCAAGACTACGTATCGTATCCTACGGTTGCCCTCTGGCTTCATGCTTTTTCAAGTGGACGAGAGTCGCTTGAAGATGATCCACGGAGCGGTCGTCCAATAACCGCCGTCACTCAAGAAAATATTGACGCTGTTCAAGATCTAGTTAATGATGATCCACATATTAGTATTGATTATATTGCCGACATCTTGGATATATCCTGTGGCAGTGTGGATACAATATTGAAACAACATCTACGGTTAAGTAAAGTATCGTCAAGATGGGTGCCTCATGAACTGACACAGGAACAACGGCAGCGACGTGTGACTATCTGTGCTGAAAATTTGGAGAAGCTTGAAAGCGGTGTATGGCGTCTGTGTGATATAATAACCGGCGATGAGACGTGGGTTTACCATCGCAGAATTGAATCAAAACAACAATCGAAAGCATGGATAGCAGAAGGAGAAAGTCCTCCAACTGTTGTTAGAAGACAACGATATGAAAAAAAAACAATGTTTGTTATCTTTTTTATGACAACTGGACCATTACTTATTCATCAGGTTCCTTCTGGAGTATCTATTGATGCTGCCTATTATCGTGATGAATGTCTGAAACAGTTCCTTAACAAGTTATTGAAAAAAAGACCATCATCAGGCACAAACGGTATCAAGCTTCATCATGACAATGCAAGACCGCACATAAAAGATATCTTTATTAATTATCTTCAAGAAAAAAAAATCAAACTTATGGCTCATCCACCATACTCGCCTGACCTTACTCCATCAGACTTTTGGTTGTTCAGCTATCTTAAAGATAGACTTAGTACCTATCCGGATGAAACAAGTTTGGCAAAAGCAATAACCAAGGAGCTCAATTCGATACCGGTTGGCGAATACAAAAAGACATATCAAAAGTGGATTGAGAGGATGACACTTTGTGTCGAGCATCACGGTGATTACTTTGAACATTTGTTGTAGAGAGATCGACTGGATGTTTTTTCTATCAATAAATATTTTCAGTTCTCAGAACTTTTTGAACGCCCTAAGTATATCTTTTTTTATAATAGATAGTTTATTTTAGACACGTTTTCAGATCACGCATTTTTTTAAATTAGAATTCTTTTCGTCGTAGCTTCAGTTTTAGATGACTCTGTTGATCTCCTATTAACGGAAATTTAAAAAAAAAGGTCTTTCTAGGATGACGTCTTCTGTTGTCATCGTTCTATGTAGTTTTGCTTTTTATTTAGAATTTTATTCATTTTTTCTCTTTTAGATTTTTAATTTCTGAACAAAAACAAATCTGTGAGTTGTTGTCGAGAAAACTGAATTAACTTCGATTTCTACATATAAACATTTTATTGTATTTTTTATCGTTATTCGAAGCTGCTCCCATCTAACTACGTAAAACTGCATTCCGCGTTATTTTTTTCGTTTTTGTTTCATACTTCGTTCATGTAAAATAATGTAAGCAGTTTTTTTAATAAAAATATTTGTTATTTAACGCGAAATAAAAGCGCAAAAGCGTTGAAGGACTTTTAAGTCACTACTAAGAAAGATCTTTCCAAGAGCTTAGAAATGGTATCTTACAGTCTACAGCCCATACATTTTCATGACTAGTTTCTATACTAAAACGTTTTGTACAGTTTTGTAGAGAATTGAATGCGGAATTATTTGGTAAAACAATCAAGTCGGAACAATGAAAAATGACCGAGATATTGATAAAATACTGAGAGGCTAATTTATTCTACTATACCCGTTACATTTAAAAACTAGTTAAGAACAAAAATAATTTAATATTGCAATTAAAGATGGGCTTTAGCCCATTCTACGATTAGGTCATTGGCCTGTGTGTAGGCTTTCATAATGACGGGATTATCTGGATTGGGTCGAGACGCAAAACCGTGGACCGTCCCATGAGTCACCAGAAACTTGCTCGGTATTTCGGGCTTGTGAGCAAGGATCTGTTCTGCCTCTGCTCGGAAGGCGTCCGAAAATTGGTTGTCTTCTTGTGCACAAGCAAAGGCTGCAGGCACTTGTAGTTCTTCAAAGTGAGCTTTAGTAGTCATCGAGACGTGACAGCCGACAATAGCATCCACAAGATGAAGCTTGCTGCCGCCGAGCAACATTACATGAAGACCACCAAGACAATAGCCAACAGCTTCTATTCTGGTTACTGCTTTTTCCGATCGAAGAGCCTGTTGCAAACGTTTATTAGATAGAAGAAAACTATGACAGAGTCGCATACCTGTAAGAACTTTTCCACAATGGGAGCAGTAACAGCTTGACGATGCTTAAACATCCATGGTCCTATTGATGTCACGAATTTTCCGACGAAGCTAAACTATATCACAAAAAGAAGTGTCCTCTTCGAGCAAGTTAGTATCTGCAAATCACCTTAGTACCAATGGACAACTTTTCTCCGGGTACTTCAGGCATATCCTTCAGCAATGAGGAGGCAATTGGATCGCCATTGAACAAATCTGGTACATAGACATCGAACCCACTTTTGTCCGACACTTCGTCAGCAGTCATACACGGATTCTTTGTGAGACCTATTCAAATGTTCAACGCGCAGTAATGATTAATAGATAGATGAGAAGAACTTACCGAATACGTCGGTCAACAGAACAATTGCCTTTCCTTTCGACGTTTCATCTTTCCCCAAAACATGATAAGTATCAATTCCAGCGATCTTGATGATTTGTCCACTGGGAGTTCCAGGCAATGGACGGTACTCAGTGAGACAACATGCATCCAGCTTCCCTTCAGTGGTTCCAGAAGCCATTGATTGCGCCTGTTTCTACAAAGACTATCGTATCAGTTTACTTGTGCTGTTTTTTGCAGTGTGCGTGAAGCGAGTAAAAGAAGTAAGTAATCTTGCTGTCGCATCATATGCATGCTCGAAACAACTTTCCTTCTCTCATCACTACATCGTAAAAAAAGTAAAAAGAAAGAAAAAAAAGAACGGCATATACGTGTGTAAAGTGTACATCTGCATACAGTACGCGCGTGCCTGAAAGGTAACGTTTATCCTGTTACGTAAATATACCTCTGTTACTTTGTTGTGTTCTTTGAAAGAAAAGTGCATAAGTGAGATTTTTCTGGGGGTGAAGCAGCGCTCATAGTGTACCACATGTGCATAAAAAAGAAAAATCTACACAATTATTAATCGCTTGACATTTATGTGGTATAACTCAACTATAATTAGTCGTCGAAGAGTCGATTTATCTCTGAACGACATATTCATTCTTCTGACAAAAATAGTTTTAATCTTTACTTACGACGAGCTTCCTGACGTGGGTGACCACTGGTCACTGACCAGTATTCATTTTATCGACAACGAAAAGAATAACTACTATCTTTGATCAATTTTTAATTGTTACTATTGTAAAAAAAATAGATCAGGTGAAGAATCGAGCAGAATGATACGATCTTAACTGAATTTTAGCTTGAGCCGCAGACGTTGACACGCAGAACAAGATGGTAATCTGGCTTGTGAATGCTCCTCCTTATCCTTCTTTTTACTGTTTTTGTTGCAAAACTCAGAGGCGCATCATTCATTCCAATCCAAATGCGCGACCTGCATGATGAAGTTGTCTCTCTTCGTGACAGAAGTCTTCTGTCACGAAGATAATGAACAGTGAGAGAACGTATCGCTCTCTCATGTATCGTTATTAAACACGTACCCTCACGGAGAGAAAGTCATTATGAGAGAGATTGAAAAATCGACTTTTTTTGCGCCAGACAGATAGAGCTGAAATTTTGAGAAATGAATTATGATTATTAGTTACACATTTTGTGAAAGTTTCATCTTTACACATATGATGGTTCCATAGATATTCATTTTTATAGCTATTCAATTTCCCAATTAAAAAGGAAAAGCCAGCATTTCTTGAGTGGATAAAAAAATGCTCAGTATAACACTTCTTTTTATCAAAAATGTGTCTATATTAGGGGTGGCACTTTCTCTTTCCTACCTCCTTTTTTTATTAACCCTTTGAGGACGGAGTTATTTTTTTCAAAAAATAATCGCGCAATAGTAGCGACACCCCTGTAACGCAAGAGCCATGATAGCTAAGTACTTCTAATTTTGTGTGATCATAGCTCTTCCCAAATGCTGATCACCCACCAACTTTGCACCTCTTTTACTGGATGGTTCATGAGATATAAGAAATTTCTTTCTTTTCCGTAAAATGTCAATGGTTCCTGACCTAAGAGAGATGAAAGCTGTTTCTTTTTACAAAAATGTAGCCACACTCTACTCTATCTACGATATGAATTTTGTGAGTTGGCTGTTCGGAGTCAGTGAAATATAGCTATTTTACGGAAGAGGTTAGCTTTTTTTGTTGAAAATTCGACGTTCTTTGCGAAAAGAAATTCATAACTCAGTCTAAGAGCATCATTTTGGCTTCAAATTCGTATCAAAGACTCTACAGTGTCTGTAGATTATCTAGCCAAAGTATGAAGGTTAACTATTGTGTGATTCTGGAAATTCATTAAGGACGAGCACTCACGATTGAAACATACGTAGAAGGGCGGCAGTAATGAACTAAGGGTC